TGCCGATCGAGGTCTCGTCGGCCAGCTTCACCCCTTGCTTCTGATGGTCGGGACCTTGGGGAAACTCTTCCAAGCTCTTCTCGAACAAGGTGCCAACGTGGGCCATCCCATACTCCTCAGAGGCCTTATTGAAATCTTCCGAGGATCTAAACTCGGGCTGAGCGGCAGCTCGGACGGTGGACAGGTCCATTGTGACTTCTTGAGGATCGTCCGGGATTTGAGGATCACTATCGTTAAAAACAATCTGGGCAGCCTCAACAGCCGCCACCTTGGCTTGGGCAGTGGCAAAATCCAGTCGAAGCTGGCAAAGCTCGTCCTCAAGCTTCTTCCTCTCCTGATCGCCCGAGCGAAGAACATCTACAGCCGTCTATTCGGCATCAGAACGGGCCTTGACCAGCTACGCCTCCCTGGCCGCACGGGCATGATGGAGTTGTAGGTTGTACAGACCAGCCTGAGAAAAAACAATTGATCAGAGAAACAACCAAACTCAGGCATAAGAAGAAGAGTGAATGGCATGGATAGTTACCTTCATAGTGGTTAGTGCAGCCCCTGCTTCAGCTTGCTCCACCGACAGCTGCGGGAGGCGGAATTCGTTCATATCAGTAGAGGTGTTCCAGATTCGGAGGAATGGGCATCCAGATTGATCCATAACCTCGTGTATGGGATCCTCAAGAGAAATCCGCTCCATAAACTTGACCAGCTCCGCCTGAACGACATCCAGTTTCGCAGCCCCGTCCGAACCAGGGAGGTCATTGAAGAGGGGATTGGTGCGGGCAGCCTCAAACTGCTGATCGATCTCCATATGCTCCAGGGTCAACTGATCAACAGGCACCTGCTGGATGGGCTGGGCCTCCTGAGCCATCGGCTGGAAGGGTCCAACGTCCCCCGTTCGGGGCGCCTTCTTGGTTGGCTTCTTCCTCTTGCCAGCAGCCATAGGCACGAGACGACCAAGTTCCATTGTTGCTTCGGTGTTAGGAGCTGAAAAAGAAGGAAAAAAGGAAATGTTAGTACCGAACGGTCTTAACGTGTGTGAAACAAGCATATGTAAGTCTCTTACACGGGAAGGATCACCCAGGCCATGGCACTTGGTTTTCAGTCAAGAATCCCAAGAATTCGGGCGGTACCTATCTTGGCCTCCACGAGCCGAATGGTGGTCAAGTAATCCATGATATCGAGCGTCTCGGTCCTCTCTACTGCAACGATCTTCTGTTCCAACTCCTCAGAGACAAAAGGCTCGGTGGATTTTGGTGGGTAGGCATTCAACCTCTTAGGGATAAGGCCGTCCGGGACGGAGACAAAGAAAAAATGGTCTTTCCATCCCTTGATGGCAGTAAGGTTCCCCTTGAAAAGGATCCGTTTCGTTCGGGCACTCACTGCCAGGAACCCACCAGTTTGTTGGGGGGCAACTTTGAAAAAGTGATGGAAGAGATCTAGAACGGGCACCACGTTAACATCCTGGCAGCGGCAGATGAACCCGACTATGACCCGATAGGAATTCAGCATTACTTGGGCCATGACTATTTGGTTGTGGTTGAAAAAGGCCACGAATAAAGGGTGCAACGGAAATCTTAGCCCAGCCTTAACAGAATTGAAGTGCACCACCACCATTTCAGGGCGGTGGCGAAGGGGATTGAGACCAGCGTGAAGGCGGAAGTCAATCGGGTCAGGAATAAGAGCAAGAACTTGGTCCCTAAGTTTGTTGGACAGCTTTTGTGTTCATTTCCGAATGGGCCTCAAGTACAAATGGTGACGAGGGGCATTGTCGGGAGGGCCTGCTCTCATTACCGCAATATCATCCCTGGATATGGCGTCATCAGAATCGCTACTGGACGAATCATCGGAGGAATCACCAGGAGCCGCATCCTCAAAACCATTGGCGGGAGAAGAGGTTCCTTCTGCATCCCCTGGGCGCCCTTGGTGCCCACAGTATCGTTTGCCCGGGTATTCTCTTCTAAATCTCGGAGTGGCTCGATGACTGGGGGATCAGAAGGACTATGGCTCTCTGACATTTTCGTACCGAACCGGAAAATAGGAAAAGGGAAGAAGGGTTGGTAGTTACCTGAGCGAAGTGTTGGAATTAGGGATTTGGGAGCAAGGTAGAGCAATCGAGCGAAGAAATGAAAAATGCAGAAACCCGGAAATAGGGGCCCAAGGCCCTATTTAAAGGATGAAAGCGCTGATTCACGAACCAATCCCAGAAGGACACATCAAGAGGAGCGTCCCCAAAGACACGTGCCACGCAAAGGTGGAACGTCACACAATCATGGCATTACCTGGGGAATATAAGTGACAACTGCCAAAGAACTTCGAACCGTCACGTCAGGAGCAGACAGGTACTAGCCAAGGGCACCATACGAGATTACACCAAACGGCAGGAAATCTGCTTTTCTACTTCCTCATGTCCCGAGCAGGCTCGGAACATCGGAAGTGGGGGACTTGTGATGGGATATTAGGGTCACGCCCAATATACCGGCCCAAAATATCCCTAAGGCCCAGGGAACGGGAAAAGCCCAAGGAAAAATGGATGGCCCCGAACGGGAATTTGGTGGCTTAAGAGAAACTTCCGTTCGACACATCCCGAACGGAATGTAATTAACACTTGGACAATTATTGTTCTTCCGGATCATTAGCTTAGCGGATCTTGATACTGATCGGAGATTCACTCAAGTGGCAGACTACATTTAATGCTGGAGTATGGAGGTCTCAAGTGGGAGCATGGGTGCACAAGTGGCTTGGAAAGCAGCCAATCATTATAGATCTCCCCATACCCCTCACCAACCCTTAACTAGTATAAATAACATCATTTATTTCATTGCAAAGGGTTATCATTTGTTTATTCACTAGCCTATATTGCATTATAACTCTTGTATTAGCCGTTGCACTGTAACTCCCCTTCGGCACTCCCTTGTAATCGTAATTACTATGTTAATACAAGCAATGCTATTTGAGTGAATCAATCGATTTTTATATTTCTTTATACACTTTACTGTAGCATTCAAACCCTATATCCAAGGTTGGTGTTGGACCTTCGGGTCACTCATGACTTAAACTCAATAGTTGTGTAATAATTAGAATAAATAAGATCGAAGTTTAAGTTCTAAACAATTTTAATTAATAATTAAGAATATAACTTAATATGTACAATTAAGAGCTCGTTTGGTGACTCTGTTTTTCGGCTTATCAGCGAACTTTTTCACCAAACACGTAACTTTTGATTTTGCGCGCTGAATTGTGTAATAATAAAAAAAAGTAAGGTTGAAGTTACTTTTTATGGCTGTTTTGGTTGAAGTTACTGTAGAGGACCATCTTAACTATTTTTTCATATTTTTTTATTTTATCAATGCAATATATTTTAATTTTTTCCTCATAAATTATCAGAATTAGCCAATGCAGTCACTTCAACCTAACTTCATAAATTTCAGCAGAATCAACCGATTAAACCAATTTCAGTGTTATTAAACGGACTCTAAATCTTAGTAGGATACTCCCTCCGTCCCATAAAATTCTTCCCACTTTCCTTTTTGGGTCGTCCCAAAAAATTCTTCTCACTTACCATTTTTGGACAATTTGTGTGGTTCATTATCATTTCACTTTTTTCTTACACAACTATAACCATACATTTCCTTTTTATTCCACTTTCTTAGGAAGTTTTTTTTTACTTGGACTGTAATTCATCCCAGACCAGACCAGACCAGACCAGACCAGACTTGGATAGTTATAAAAATACAAAGAAACCAGACCAGACCAGACCAGTTCAGACCAGACCAGACCAGACCATCAAATTACGGTCCAAGTAAAAACATCCTTAATCTTCATGGTTAAAGTGGGAAGAATTTTATGGGAGGAAGGTATGTAGTACTTCGCATAAATTTAAGAGCAAGAAACCAAGCATACAAATCATTTAACAACTACATATAGCAAACGTGGTTGACTAGTTGGTATGGCATCCACCAGGACCACCATCATTGTGAGCCGACCAATCAACTTTCATTACGATCTACCAATCAGAGCAATGTTGCAAACAAATGAAAGTTTTTCTTGTTGAATTCTAGATTAAACATGGAAAAGTAATTAGAAATTGCCTTAAATAGGAGTAAAAACTTTTTGAAATTCTTAAATAGGAGTATCATGTTTTTTATTCTTTGAATAAGAGTAATCTGCCAATTTTGAAAAAAATGCAATGTTTAAAAGCCTACTAATGCCAAACTTGGCAGAAATTTACTCTTATTTAGAAAATAAAAAACATGATACTCGAATTTTGAATCCCAAAATATGTGCAAAAATCATGGGAAATTCTAAAAAGGAGTATTATAGTTTTATTCTAAATAGGACCAAATTATTATACTCGGTACGTGGTACTTCGTATGTTGCAATATGAATGCAACACGCACACAACTTTACACACCTAGGTGGGAGACCTTGCGTAAATTTATAAAACAGGGAGTGCTTAAAAGTATCTTTGGAATCAAAATGATCTTTTCTATCCATCTCATTAAGATTGTCTTATACAAATTTAATAAAATTTGTATCGTTCTAAATCATTCTTACTAATGAGCGGTGCTAGGTGTACACATTTTGGTGTAGAATTATTTGTGGACAAACAATTCTGTGTGCGTGACATAAACGAGTGTACGAGAGGTGTACACCAAAATGTGTACACCAGACATTTTTGATTACTTATAATCACTTTTGGTTTTATAAAATAAATCACATTATCAAATAGGTATAATTATCTAAACACGGGATACAATAATAAAAAACAAAGAAAGGGAGGGCACCTAAATACAAGAAAAAGGACAAGCAAAGGATTAGCACGAGTTTTCCATGGATTCTGGATTCCTTTCGTAAGCTTTTCATTTCAATAATGCTAGATCATTCATTAGCTTTACTGTTCAAATAATCGAACCCTTTTTTAATCTTTCCTTGTACTCCGTACTTTTCACTGGGACGCTCCACTACAAAATATCTTCTGAATCTCTTCAATAATTTTTGTACCACAGTATCTGCACACCGTCCAATGCCGCCTGAGAGTGTAGGCCCCACCCACCTCTTGCATCACCGTTCGTGACTATGGATGAGCTCGCCTAGCCGGACTATCGGAGTGTGATTTGAGAGAGACGACAATAAATCTGACTTCTTCTTCTTTTGTTTCGCATTGATGCAAGGGTTTCTAGTTTCTTTGATACATCGGAAAGAAAGGATTTCTAGTTTCTAGCTTCTGTTATAATTGTGGGTTTAGTTATTCTCTTTGCCAATCATATCGAAACCGAATCCGGCACTGGATTCTTCATGGCCTTCTGAAACCTGGTTGCTTTCACTTCGTTGAGTCAACACATCGAGCTCCTTGAGGTCGTCTTTCGATCTATGTGATGGACTGTGCTGCTATTCGGTCAACGCTTCCCCTGTTCTCTCGCCGTCCGAGGAAATCCGCTTGTTCAGTTGCTTCAGGTGTTTCTTTGGTCCTGTTTCCGGGGGTTCTGAATGAGGATATCAGGAGGCTGTCTCTCGCCCATGGCTACAGTAGGCATCAAATAGAGAGCACCTTGAGGGTAAGGGCGGCCCAGAAAAACTACGGAGAGGATGCTGACAGTGAAGAACCAGAGGATGCTTTGGAGAGTGCTGTTGAAAAAAGCAAGAAGGTTTTAAACTTGCAAAAAGACCTACTTCAACAGGTCTCCTTTATTCTTTTCCCGTTCTTACTTTCTCGGAATAAAGCGCTGTGTTGTATCATATTCCGTATGTATCAGAATATGCTGTCTTTCTCTTTATGATCTCGATTACTCTGCACTAAATTGTACTCAGTAACTTTTTAAAAAAAATGCTACTCGTATAAAGCAAGTGGGAAATTTGCCAATGTTGAGATTAAGCTACTAAGTACTAGCAAAATGATGATTATATTGTGTTGAGTGTACTCTATGTACAGTGGCTGGAATTACTCTATCTTCTGTTGCTAATTCAGGTAGCAAAAAGTGAACCTGCACCATCTGCTGCTGTCTTTTTTATTATCTAATTAATTTGTTATTGTATTTAAATCACTTGTCAATAGTAACCTATTGATATGTTGAAGCATGAGATTTACCATTTCCCATTCATGGAACATGACTCTTATCTAGTTAAGATACATTTGTTGTTGACACTTGCTTCAATTGTCATGGTTTGCACCTATTAAGGTTATAAATTTTATACTCATACTATATGAAATTTTGGTACAAATCAATTGGCTGCACTGTCCATCTTGTTTCACAGCGAATTTCCTCCAATTAATTACTGCATTGTTGTCCTATCGAAATGCATGTTATTCATCCCAATTTGGAGAGCATCATATGATTGCAGTGATACCGGAGGGAGATATGATTACCCGTCTCCTTGCTCTCTCTCTTCACCACTTTTCTTAGCCATGTTTTTAGTAATCATAGCTTCATAGAATTAGTTTTCTTTGAAAATTAAATTTGACTATCCATATAATTCACCCTATTTATTGTTGATTAAAACTCTTATTTTTATGATTTTATTGCCTGCTCAATTGAATGAGTGGCCAGTTCTGTTTTAGATCTGAATCTTCTGCATTAAAAACTTAACGTTTTAATACTCCGTATGTTTTTAGTTCCTGCAAATATAGTGCATTTTGTTTTACGCCCTTGCAAAATTACTTTTTTTTTGTTTTTCATACCTGTAATTTATGTTGATTTTCGTTATAGTCCATCATGGTTGATAAAAACCTCCGTTTGACAACGAAACAACCCCAACTAATAGGTTTCCTCTCATTCTTTGTCATGTTAATCAAGAAGTATTTAAAATTATTTTTAGAAGGTGCTTAATACATATTTTAAAAGTGTGAATCATTAGTTTTACATTGTTTTAACTCTCATATTAGCTTCTAAAAGTTATAAAAGGATAAACTTAAAAGATTCAAGCAGTATCATGCAACCAATAATAACTATTTTTTCTTTACAAAAAAACAATAACTTTTTTTTAAATAGACTGGTCTTGGTGGTAATTTTTATTTCTGATCATCTTAATTCATTCTCTTCCAGCTTCAGCTCATCTCGTATGTGTTGAATTATCTCCCTGATTTGCAGATTGCCAAAAGAAAGAAATTGGTATCTTCAATAAAAAGTAGCTTGCTTGACCCAGAAAATAGGGTAGAAGATTGGGAGGGCAGTTCTGTAAATGCAGATATTGCTGCAGACACAGACGAAGACTATAGTGGAGTATTATCTACATTGAATGCTAAATCAGCTCTTGACTTGGAAGAATATCCACAATCACCTGTAAGCAAACATTCTTTTGGAAATGCTCAAGCTGGTAAAAAGGACCCACTTCTTAAAACGGCTACCATAAACAAAGACTCAGATAAAACAAAAAAAGGGGGAAATCCGAAGAACGTCAAACCTACTGAAAAGCCAGCTTCAGTACCAAAATTGTCTTCGGGTCCGAGCCAACTGACTGCACTTGATTTGGATTCACAAAACAGTTTAAAATCCTTTTCTGGACAGGGAACTTTGTCTGATGTTCCATCATCCTCAAAGTCCTCTGCATCTTCTATTGAGAATGAGAAAAGAGAGCATAGTGCTTCTAGTTCAAAGGATGATGAAACTGGAGATCCTATAAGTGTGGACTTCAAGCCACCCCCACTGGCAGGGGCCAATGTGATGAATGTGATATTAGTTTCCGCAGAGTGTGCTCCCTGGTCTAAAACAGGTATCTAATATGCCTATATACACTGTTGATTGTTGATGCCTATTTTGTGATGCATGAATTAATGCTTTAAGTTTCACAATTATCATATTTCTTCTAGTTTCTAGGAATGTTTTGTATATTCCCATTATCGTACTTCTCATTTAGTTTCGTTGCTCTAAAGTGTTAAAGTCATCACATCCGAACACTTGTCACAGACATCAGAAAGTAAAAATAATAATGACGGCACAGGTTGTGCTAACATATACTATGGGACTTTCACTTGATATTTTACTCCTAAATGGAATAGTTTCATAACTTCATACTTCTCTGAAATAGGCTAAAGAATAAATCATTTTAATGAGACAAAGTCTTTAGTTGGTGAGTGAGTAGTGAGCAACTGAGCAGACTGAACAAGTTTTTCTATCAGCCTAGAAGAAATCAGAACAAAAAAATCAAAAAAAATCTAGACATGATATGTAAATCAAGAGAAAAAACTCATTATGGTGCATTTACACATTGTAGGAGTACATGCATTCACGTGCATAAATGCAAGATAATTATGCAAGGGTTCACTAACTATGGATTTTATTAGGCGGGCTTGGAGATGTTGCTGGAGCATTGCCCAAGGCTTTGGCTCGGCGTGGACACAGAGTCATGGTAACATTATTGATTAGCTTCTAGCAAATATGCCATACTTGTAACTATGCTAGAGAAAGAGTATAGAAGATGGATAGTATCAATATAATTAAAATATAAATCAACAAATGTGTTGCATTACCTGTATGACTCAGCTTCCTTAGGTTCTAGCAACATTACATGCTATAATTTTTGTTTTTTGTCCTCCCTTGAGACCTATAGGTTGTGGTACCTTTATATGGAAACTATGCCGAACCTCAACATGCAGGAGTTCGAAAAGTGTACAAGGTTGATGGCCAGGTAAGTAATTGTTTTTTAATACATATAATGTTCATTGAGTCTGAAAATGTTCAAGGTTCACATATTCTTGCAAATATGTGCTAATTATTTATTCTTGAACTTTGCAGGATATGGAAGTGAATTATTTTCATGCATACATTGATGGCGTGGATTTTGTGTTCATAGATAGTCCAGTATTAAGGCATGTGGAAAACAACATATATGGAGGAAAACGTGAGGTATGCATCCCTTCCCCCCCCCCCCCCCCCCCCCCCCCAAAAAAAAAAAGGGGTAAAAATATTTCCGTGTCTCTTAAGTTTCTGGATATTACATAGTATAATATTAGCATTTAGAAACCCCTAAAATGTAGTATCTTCTTGGTGATGTTTTATACGGAGTATGATCTTTTTTAGAAGTCATTATCTTAGAATGCACTATACTGCAGTTTCCTTGCATCATATTATTTTTAGGGTGTAGCTTATATCTCATATTCTCATGCTAGTTTTGAAATTCCAGTGTTATACTTATAGCTGTTCGTATTACATAGTTTGTCAATCGACTTGTGTTAGTTGAGGTATTACTTGAACATATGCTATGAATGGCATAGCATCCATTTCTTGTGAAGTTGTGTTATCCTTTATTCAGCAATGCGTAATAGGATATTGGTGCAAATAATTGTCTTTATGATTCCCATTGCAGGACATTCTAAAGCGCATGGTCTTATTTTGCAAAGCAGCTGTTGAGGTATGTTAGCTCTGGTATTACACACTGTCCTCTGACTGCCGCTTCCTTTCAAAACCAACTCACTCAGTAGCTAATAGGCCACTATGTAACCGTGGATGATATTAATGATTGGAATACATAACCTATAAATTCTAGTCTAATAAGTGTAAATAGCTAGCAATTTAATCAGTAGAGTTTTTTTAGTTATTTTTTACTGCTATAAATAGCGTGAGAATGGAAAAGACAATAAGTGTGATTGCAAATAAGCTAATCTAGATGATATCACCTGTTTTTTGTGAGTGCAAAGCATGATTGCACTGAAGGGATTGGGTCACTTGAGTAATTTTTTGTTAAGTGGTGAGCAATTGGAGCTGCAGTTTGGGTTGAATACTCCAATCAAGTGCTTAGGATTTGGATAGGATTGTGAGCTTTTGACAAAAAAAATTTCAATGCTGTGCTGTTTTTGTGATTAGAACCTTGTATTCAATCGTAGGTCCCTCCTTGATGAAATTATTGTTTTACTGATAAAAATAGTGACAGGAAGCTGCAAATCGGACACAGAGTATTAATCAGGGCAAAGGTCAAATAATCCATGACACATTTTCGAAACATGTAATTGCTCTCAATGTTAAAGTGTCTAATAGACACTATAAGTAACAAACACACACAATTAAAGACCCTTTAAAAAAATCTTTTGTAGCCCATAAACATCAGGTCATTGCCACATCTCTGCTAACTCAAAGTGTAGTAAGCATTATATCATCATGATGTTCTTTATCTGGCGTATTTGTTTTTCCTCTACATGTTCTAGCTGCCATGGAAACACTTGATGAACTGTTAAATTGGTAAATCAGGTTCCGTGGCATGTTCCTTGTGGTGGTGTTTGCTACGGAGATGGAAACTTAGTGTTTATTGCAAATGACTGGCATACTGCATTACTGCCAGTGTACCTGAAGGCATATTACCGCGACAACGGACTAATGACATTCACTCGGTCTGTTCTTGTAATTCATAACATAGCTCACCAGGTTAGTTCCATATTAATAGGTATTTAAGAACAACCCTATCTGTTAAAGAGTTTGTCCCACATCGGTTAAATATGAAGAATATTTAAGATTTTGAGCAACTTCTCTTGTCAGGTTGACCTTTTAGAATGAAAGTTCAAATCTTAATACTATAACAGTGCGTTCTCAAATTTTTACCCTGCATTGACTCATTCATGCGAAGGGGAGCCTTGGCTCACTGGTTACAGTGTTGCTGTGTGACCGAGAGGTCACAGGTTCAAGTCTTGGGAGTGGCCTCTTTGTCAAAATAAAAAGGGAAGGCTTGCCCCTTATACACCCTTGTGGTGGGACCCTTCCCCGAACCCTCGCCTTGCGGGGACGCCAATGTACATGGGGCTGCCCTTTCTTTCTTTTTATTGATTCATTCAAGCTTTCTCTTACTTCAGGGTCGTGGGCCTATGACTGATTTTTCGTATGTGGGCTTACCAAATGGGTACACAGAACTTTTCCGGCTCTATGATCCCATGGGAGGTGAACATTTCAACATATTTGCGGCAGGTCTGAAGACAGCTGACCGGGTGGTGACAGTGAGCCATGGATATGCCTGGGAGCTCAAAACTTCAGAAGGTGGATGGGGTTTGAATGGGTTAATAAGTGAAAATGATTGGAAACTGCAAGGGATAGTCAATGGCATAGATACTAAAGAGTGGAATCCCCAATTGGATGCCCACTTGAAATCAGATGGCTATGTCAACTACTCCATAAACACACTACAGATTGGCAAAGCCCAATGCAAGGCCGCATTGCAGAAGGAACTAAATTTGCCCATAAGAAACGATGTTCCCTTGATAGGTTTTGTCGGGAGGCTTGACCACCAAAAAGGAGTCGATCTGATAGCTGAGGCGATCCCTTGGATGATGGGCCAAGATGTGCAGTTGGTCATGCTGGGAACAGGCAGGCCCGACCTAGAAGATATGCTCAGGCAGTTTGAGGGTCAATACGGCGGAGACAAGGTCAGAGGTTGGGTCGGTTTCTCAGTCAAGACTGCACACCGGATAACTGCTGGTGCTGACATTCTGTTGATGCCATCAAGGTTCGAGCCGTGTGGACTTAACCAGCTCTATGCAATGAGCTATGGGACGATCCCCGTAGTCCATGCCGTGGGTGGACTTAGAGACACAGTGCAGCCTTTTGATCCATTCAATGATTCAGGGTATGGATGGACATTCCAAAGGGCCGAAGCTAGTCAGCTGATTGATGCTCTTGGGAACTGCTTGTTGACATACCGTCAGTATAAGCAGAGCTGGGAGGGGCTGCAGAAGCGTGGTATGATGCAAGACTTGAGCTGGGATCGTGCTGCTGTTAAGTACGAGGAAGTTCTTGTTGCTGCCAAATATCACTGGTGATATAAGATTTGCTATCGCTGTCCAGTTTTATTCGTTGATGAAATAAGAGTATTCGTGCAATTGTGCTGGTGCGTGGCACGGCTTTGCTCTCCGTTGTCATTTTTCGATTTCCAAAATCCGAAATCACGCATTCCAGGAGCACTTCCATTGTGTATCTTGCAGTGAAACCAGCCCATCTCTAGCCTTTTACTGCTTTGTATTTTTCCCCGAGATCTCACCAAGAAACCCTGCAACATGTTTTGTTTACATAGGCTTCTTTAGATGTCTGAACCCATCTCTGTTGTAGTATATATATTTAATAATGCAGTCCAAACCCGAAGTACGGAAGTAGGTTTTTATCCTTACCGGAATCATTTTTTGTATTCTGTCTCCATATTTACAGCTTCCAATAATTCTGATAGCTGTTTTGCCGGCAATTGTGTTTTTCTTCGAATTCTTCTGCCGGAATCTAGAAATAGGCTCAAATAGCATGATTATATATATCAATTTTGGAATTGACAATTAGCTCAGTTTAAGAATATCTGAAATATGTCTTGCTGCATTTATTAATATTTTGGTTAGGAATTGAATTTACTGCTCACGTATGACCGATTTTAGAATTTAGTACAGGTATTTCCTCCAGAACGTCGAATTAATAACGGGAAATTGAGTTAGCAACACAGAGTTGAGTTAGCAACAAGATTAAACTCTGAAAAAATCACTTTCAACATTGAATGAAACTGATTATTGCAAGGATTATACGCTTATTTAATCTAGGGATGGATCCAACCGGTTCGAACTGGCCCGGGAACCGGACCGACCCGCTACTGTGCAGGCCCAGACCGGATCAGGCTCTAGCCCGGTTTAGGCGGGTTTGGTGGGCCGGGCTTGGGCCTTGATTTTCATGAACCGGCCCGGTTAATTTTTTTTGTTTTTTTCAATTTTTTTTCTTTTCCTTGGGTAGGGCTGGGTGTTTGGGGGGGGAGGGGGGAAGTGAGGGGTGAGGGAGGGCGGTCGGGGGTTAATTACACAAAGTCAAAAAAAAAAATTACTTTGAATTGGGCTCGGATCGGCCTGGTTTGGCCCGGACCCGGTATCAACCCGGGCCGGTTCCGGACCCAACATCCTGGGAAAAAAGCCCGGTTTGAACCGGCCCGGTCTCGGTCCATGCCTAATTTTATCCCAAACTATCACCAAATTTACAAATTTATCCTATTATTTAACTTTTATTAAAAAAAGATTCAAACTTCATCTTTTTCAACAAGTATGCGTTTCCTTTTTGTTTTTTCAAAATTACACATTTTTATCAATACTAATAAGATATAAGCAATACAAGTTTGCAAAATTAAAACTAGAAAGAAGTGAAAAAGTATGAATTATAAATATATTTTTGTTCTTAAGTTTTACTAATTCATCAATTGAAAGTGTAACTGTGAGAAAAGTTGAAGTTTAAGTCTTTTTTTTAATAAAAGTGAAAGTATATGATAAATTTGTGAATTTGATGATAATTGGAGATATATTTAGTTAATAATCCTTATCACAATTTACAAGTCCATTAAGATACACAATTTAAATCATAAATGAGTAAAGACTTCTCAAATAGATTGTGTTCAATACGAAAAAACAATGAAAATGTGTCTCATTTCTCTCTCTCTCATTTCTCATTTCTCTCTCTTTATAATCCAGGTGTGAGGGCTTACGCTTCCATAATCCTGGAGTCTATGAACTACCCTCGAAAACCCCTAGACATTTAAATTCGGATCTGATCACAACCAGCCACGTCCATTGGGAGAAAGACCTCCCTCATCTCTCCTTGGTGGGAATTGAACCCAAGACCTCCCACAAAGGAAAGACTTGGGGGGGGGGGGGGGGGGGGGGGGATGGTTATCCGTTGGACTACACTCATCAACCAAATTTCTCTCTTTTGTTACTTTATTGTAGGTTGTTATCAGGGACGGCTTTGAGGGCAGTTGGGCCAGGCACCTGCCTTGGGCCTCAACTACCAATGGGGCCTCCAAAAAAATCTACTCCAGTATTAGTATTAGGTGTTATTCGCAGACCGCCAATACACCAAGCGGCAACTGAAAGCAGAAATCAGCTTTATAGTTCACTTTTGACTATTCGTCCTTCATCAAAGTTGTAGCTAATGAAGTCTTCTATCCAACACAACTTGCAAAATTGGATTTGAATCATCCAATAAAAATATATGAATAAAATGGTGGAAGGTCGCATTCTGAAATCTCAACAGAGATTGTCTGACTTCATCGTCTGTTTTCACCTTGCTTCTTTCAGATTCTCACAATGGTGTCTTCATATGATTTGTAGCCCTTGAAGTTGTCGTTCATATGAAACTTTAATCATGTTTTTTGGATGTTCCTAAGAAAAGATATGCTTGAACGATTGACAGAACGTCATCCTGACCGTTGTTTTCAAGCTCTATTCGTCTTCTTTTGACCCGTAGCCAATTCTAGAGCTCTTTTGTCTTCAACACCTCACTGATCTCCAATGCTCCTAATCAACATGGGTCCTTGGTTAGTGAATCAACTAAAGCTCTTCAGCTCTTCTCTCTGAGTCTCGTTCTTGAAGTCTCTTAATACTTTTACAAGTACAAGTTTGCCTTGTGTTTTGAATAAGTTTGCATTTTAAAATTTATCCTTTTGAATATTACAAACATTATATCGTGGACTTTGAATATTCTTTTTTCATAAGGCGATTTTTATTCAATTTATCTGATTTTAAAAGTGATTTGTACATAGTAAATTTTTTTCGTCTGGGGCCTCCAAAATGCTCAAGCCGCCTCTGGTAGTCTGGTTGTCATGTATGTTAGGTGGGTCCAATTCTGATTCCGGAGCGTTCCAGGTAAATCACCCAAGACTAGAATCAAACAAAAAGTCGGAGACTGGACTGGAACTAATTACAGTGCACAATTAGAAAACTTGACTGAATTTGATGTCCCAATATAAACCCTTTGATTGAGTTTATGGGTGAAGAAAAATAACCACTCAATGACTGAGCAAAAGGTTAAAAGAATTCAAGCAATAGAATCAAATGTTTTTGCGTTCTTGAAACGGTAACTGATCCAGTCAGCGTTATATATAGTACTCCCTATTAGGAGTATATAGGGAGGCCAACGGCTCATGGCTCACCCCTATTAATTAGGATCGATCAGAATGATGTAGTTGAATATTTTAAATCTAAATTAAAAATGATGTAATGATTTGAACCAATCAAGTGAGTGGTAGGTATGGTACCCAATTTTTTAAAGGGAAAACTGTCAAATAGGTCCTCGAATTTTCATAAAAAAATCAATTAAGTCTTTCTATAGGAGACTCTGTCCGGTCGTCACGATTTGGGGCGGATCCCGGTGGAATTTTTTGATGAAATTTTTTGAGCATCTTATTCATCAAGTCTAGTTTACTCATACCAAATTTCAGCTAAAAATTTAATCGGGAGTGCATTCAGATTAATTCGAGAACGCAAAAATGCGCAGTTATCTTCAAGAATTAAATTGAATGTGTTCCCGATTGAATTTGTAGCTGAAATTTGGTATGAGTAAACTAGACTTGGTGAATAAGATACTTAAAAAATTTCATCAAAAAATTCCACTGGAAACTGCCCCAAATCGCGACGGCCGGACAGAACCTCCTATAGAGGGACTTAATTGACCTTTTTATGAAAATTCGAGGATATATTTGATAGTTTTCCCCTTTTTAAATAGAAATTAGTTCAAATAGGACTAAAACTATGGCAAAAACCTAAAATAGGACTTACTATGTTTTTATTCCAAAATAGGATCATATGAGTCCTATTGGAAACATACCTATTTTTGCATTCCATTCTTACCCTTCCATTAAATATGAATTAAAAATAGTCAAAAGCCATAATTAAATGTTTAATTCATAATAAATTCGAAAAAAATTCAAAAATTCGTAGAAATATAATTAAAAAATTTATAAATTTTTATAAAATAAAAAATTCAATTTTTTTTTAAATAATTTTATTTTTAAAAAAATTAATAAAAAATAGTAAAACTCCGTAAAAAAATTTAAAAAATATGGTTGCCTTTCCCACCGCCTGTACTACCTCCCAGCACCACCACCTCCGGCCGATGAAAAAAATGCCATTTTCCCAGAAAAATGCAATTTTTTTCTGAAAATGCCAAAAAAGTGACATATTTCTCTTTTCGAATGCCAACATTTTCATTTTTTCTGCCATAAATATGGCATTCGTAATGAATTTGGCATTTTTTTCCCCTGGTGACTGGAGGTGGTGGTGCTGAGGCGGCAGAGGCGGCGGCGATTTTTTTTTAGTTTTTATTTTTTTTAATTTTTTTTAATTTTTTTAATTTTTTGAAAAAAAAAAATTTATTAAATCTTTAATATCGAAATGTTTTTCTTAATTTTTTAGTATTTTTTACGAATTTTTATTATTTTTTTATTATTTTATTAGGAATTAAAACATTTTAATAGCTATAAGGATATAATTGTCCAAGGTACCCATAATTAGTCCTATGCAAACATAGTTTATTTTTTGGTCCTATTTATGAAAAGTGAATGACTTTTAGTCCTATTTTGATAATTAACTCTTTTTTAAATGGGTACCTGGTCACCTAATAATATTCCCTTTTGATAATTACCTTGCTCTCGTTGTGACCCTTGCATAGAACCAATTGAACAGTTCAGCACCATCTGATTGAACCCAGACCGCTCAGTTCTTTCATTGAATGTCCGATCATGGTTTAATTATCTCCACCATCATTTAAATCATGGGGTTAATCATGGGTTTGGAGTGTTCGTTTAAGAGCTTATGTATCATTTTTTTTATTGATTTTAACCTGTTTGACCGCATGAATGATGAATCAACTAGTGATGTGTTTGATAAAATAGCATTTCCATTTAGCTTTTTGGATAAAAAAGCCAAAGTACAAAAGGATACCCTATTTTTCATAGACAAAAACATACTCCGTATTTGTTTTATGTGAACGAGATTCACATATTTCTCAAAATACCAAACTACAAATCTTAGTTTTTAGGTAAGCCGTTTACTTCATTTCCCTTTTTTCCTATTCTACACACACCGGCCATTCTACCAGGCATAGAACAAACAAAAATGATGTTTCTACCCACTCTTATACCAACTTTTGTATCCACCCATGTTTGTGAAAATTTTTTTTGTCTGTGAACATCGATTCACAGATAATATTTTGCACAAACAAAATATTGTCTGTGAACTGGGTTCACAGACAAAAAAATGTTTCACAAACATGGTGGGTATAAGGTGAGTGAGTATAAAGGTGGGTACATTCAGGACGGGTCCTGCTCATTTTTGGGCCTATGGGCGATACGCTATTTTGGGCTTATACCCAAGACAAATCGTAAACCATATACTTATTTGAAATATGACGTCCTCTAAAACTACTATTAGGAACTCAGATATAGTTTATTGAAATTTGGAAACAAATAAATAATTGGGATGAGATTTGAGAGAGATAGGCTTTAAAATAATCATACAAATTTGTTATGTTATAATTAAAATGAATAAAAAGCCTTAAAGGCTAAATAGATGTGAAGATTGAAGAAGCATGTCTTTTATTGATGCAGCAACAATTGTATTACTTTTGAAAACTACAACCAATCCTACTTAAAATTAAGGTATAGTTTTTTTTATAAACTTGACTCTGTTTAAGACTTTTTATTTACATTTTATAATTAAAAATTGTCAACAACTCAACATAATTAAACATTAGGCCTAATTAATTGAATTTAAGAATAAAAAAAGAAGGTTATTCACACTATATATAGAGAAAAAAATTTGAACCTATTTTTTCTTCTAATTTTTTCGAGTCTAGGGCGGCCCGCAGAGCGGGCCCTACGTAAGCATTGTTGTAGAACAAATTATTTCTTCCGTTCTAGATTTTAAGGATGCATGACGCAAGGACTTCACTTTATTTGCCTGGCCATTTTACGTACTATGATTATGTAATGCAAAGAATTACGGAGTAGTACTTGTGTTAGTGGATATTTATTTTTTAACAAATAAAAATGTTTTGACTAGTTGACTAGTTGTACGCATAAAACTAATTTACTAAATGTATGATACATATACGTAGTAATATATACGGAGTATAAAATAAGTAAAATATGTAGTAAGTATGAGGTTCTCAAAAGTCATTTACTAGTTATAAACAACCATTAATCAAACATTATTATACAAATTACTAATACTATCAGGAGTAATTTGAATTTGCACCTCATTTTATTGTCTAAATTGTACTTTACACCCCGTTTTTAAAAATCTTTGTTTTTGCACCCAACCCCATATGAAAAGACCAAAGTGCCCCTCCATTAAATTTTTTGTTGGCCTTTAACAACCAATCAAATCCGCCGTTATCAATCGACTAACATAACAACCAAAAGTCAATTGTCAAACACTTCCCATTTGATTGAATGTCAAATATCATTTACTCGTAGTATATATCTATTGAATTGTACCTTGACTACCATACATCTTCAAAACCAGTGACCTTGTTTGAGTCATCAAAACAGTTTTTTCAAAACAAAATATAATTAAACACACGGATTATTAAAACTTAGTTAACGAACTCATATATAGAAAAGTAAAAACTTATTGCCTCAATAAAACGAAGTGTTGCAATACAATTATTATTAAGGTATATCATGGAACCATAAGTCCCCAAGTATACAATGAAATGATGGATGATGTTTTAGTTGGATTGGTTACCTGCCTTCATGTGTTCTTAAGTACACATAAAACAAACATCTATCAATTAGGACTACACTTAAACATATCAAATCAAATCAAGAATTTTAGTCCAATTAAAAACATTTTTAACACATAATTACTACACATTTACCACAAAATTACTAAACAAAATACCCAAATCAAGATTACCCAAAACGAGTTGATAAACACGTACTTCAACAGGAAAGAGATAAACATGATGCACTTAACAACCAATTAACACATAATTAACCTGAGTGATCGCATTTATGCCCTGTCCTAGTTTTTAAATACTTGTGTCAAAATCAATCAATGTCCTAATTCCTGTTTTCTGTAGTGAAAGAGAACATTTTCGCCATTAATTATGGTTCCCTATCACAGACGTACGTACTACAAATAGGGCACGCATAAATTCACCAAATAAACGGATATGCAGAGAAGTATGAAACTTCATGGATACACCATAGAAGGAGCTGGCAAGATGCCTCCTCCGATGGGTAAAGACTAAAGAGCATAAAAAACAAGGGAACCTTCCTTTCATCTTCTTCTTCCCTGAAGCCCCAGAATAGTATTCCCTTTTCCCACTCAAAAAACAATCACTTTCCTCTCCACCTTCGTCTTTATTCTCCAATCACAAGACCCAATTTCTCTATATAATGAAATCCTCTCCTTTTCTCTGATACCCAATTCAACAACACATCTAATTCATTGGTATATCATTCATATCTGTTTCTCCGCCCGGTAAACCTACAACTTAAAGAACCATCAGAGATGGATTCGGGCTATCTGAATCGGGCGATTTCAATCAAGAAGACAAAGTTACCTTTTGCCTCTGCTCCGCTTCTCATGCCCATCAATGGCTTCATAGGTCCGGTCATCGTTCTGTACATAATAATCTTTGAATGGGTCAGAAATACTATCAGCAGCCTACTATTAACTTCATCTCCGCCGCAAGACTCAAAGCCGGCGGAGTCACCGGCGTATTCGAAGGTCCCGTGCAGCATCAATTCCATGGCCAGAGAAGAAATGGAGACGGTACTGGAAAGACTTGGGCTTTTCGGCCTCCCTGGTGAAAGAGAGAAACTTCAGGAGAGGTTTTGCTCAAAAGAATTTTCTGAGATTCTTGGTGAGGAGGCGGCGGAGGAGGAGGAAGGAGATGGGTTTTATGTGGATGATGATGAGGTGCAGGCTGCATTTGATGTTTTTGACGAAAACAGAGATGGGTTTATCGACGAAAAGGAGTTGCAGAGAGTTCTGTGTGCGCTGGGCATGGATGCGATCAAAGAAATGTATGATCAAGAAGGAGAAGGTTTGGAGTTGGAGAATTGCAGGAGTATGATCAAGAAATTCGATGAAAATGGAGATGGGAGGATCGATCTAAACGAATTCTCTAAGCTCATTTTTAATTAATTAGATCGTGAGACAGACTAGTTTCTCATATCATTAGGAAGTATTCTTGATTTCTTTAATTTCTCAGTTTCTAATTTATATAACAAATTTTTAGCACTTGTTGATTTTTTTTAACCTTTCAACAACTTTTTATATCATTTATAGATATGTGCCTTTTTTTATCATCTAGATATGTGCCTTTGTAATTATATGTAATAATTATAATATGACTAAAATAAAAAAAATGAATAAAAATGTGACCAATACAAAGTGACTATATTAACAACCTGATCATAATCATATTCAATGTTGCTTATACTTGGATAAATTCAGTCACATTTTTATTAATAATTTTATCTTAAAAATATTTTGGGAAAACCTCTAAACTCACAAAATAATGTAAGATCTCCAAGTAACGTAGGAGTGTTATATGACATAAACTTCTACCATCTAGAAATGCTAATGGTGTTGTATGAATGTTGATGGAGTATATGGCCGAGAAACCTCCGGTCCACATACTTCCACTACTACAATCCGGCCCAATAGACCCAGGTGGCCCAAGTACAGCGAACAAGATTCGAACAACCCATACTACAACAAGGTGTAGAGGACGTACGGCTTGAAGAGCCCTGAGTACGTACGACCTCTAACACATGAAGAGCTCCATCTTCGTACGACCTTCAACACAAAAGAGCCCTGGGATACGTATGACCCAGGGGACGTACGTCCAACAACAGTCTTCCAGGCACATTGATGCCACAAGGGGACGTACGGCCTTTGAACACTTGAAAAGCCTTGGGTACGTACGGCCTCTAACACATGAAGAGCTCCATCTCCGTACGGCCTCTAACACATGAAGAGCCTTGGGTACGTACGACCTCTAACACATGAAGAGCCTTGGGTACGTACGACCTCTAATACATGAAGAGCTCCAGCTACGTCCAGCCCTTTGGGGACGTACGTCCTTCCCCACATGATGACCCTTTGGGGACGTACGTCCTTCACCACATGACGCCCCCTGGGGACGTACGTCCTCCTGCACATGAAGTCCTCCCCAGCTACGTACGGCCTTAGGGGACGCACATCCTTCAGCACATGAGGTCCTCCCCAGCTACGTACGTCCCCAACACGCCACCAAGGCCCAAATTGCAACATGGCTTTCGGCACATGCAGCCCACGGGTGCATGTAGCCGAGGGCACTCTCCTCGACAGGATCCCCCCTCCACATGCTCTGAATCACTGCATTAAATGCGGTGTCACGTCCAACCACCGTATTAAATGCGGTGCCATATGCTATGCCGGTGCCACATGTTATGTCTAGCTGAGTTGACTCTCCACCGCTGGTTACTTGACACGTGTACTTGCATTATTCACACCGCATTTATGACAACTATAAATAGCTAGCCTCTTCTTCATTGTAAAGGACCCACATCTGGAGCTCATTTATAATACACACCTACTCTCCCTCCCTCTTACTATTTGCTCTGACCTTTCTCTTGATATTTCTTATAATATCCCTCGGATAAGCTACCCCCGGGTACACTATCCGTGAAATGTATCATAAGTTCATAACACATTAAGATCTCCAAAGTATTTGAAATTCAATCAAGATTTAAATTCCACCCTAAAAACTACATGTGAAAGTAGTTCAACATTTATGTTTAGATGATAATGTGAGAACAACATTTGCAACGCACGTTGAGGATGAAAAGGAGTTTAATATGATTGTGAATTTGTTTTGGCCGGTTCGTAACACGGAGGTATAAAGTGTGAATTGGAAAGTGTTTATCCTAACGTCTCCATTTTCACGTTTGTCAACACATTACTTTCATGATTGATAATCTTTATTAGTAAAAAATTAAAATAGAATCAAATTTTGAAAATTTAAATAAAATGAGAGGAATTTACAATTCTTTTCAAACATATTGTATGCTTATGAAGAATTTTATATTTGGATGAATCTCATGTAATAGTTAGATTTGGGGGCATTAACAATTTCATTCTACAATTCTCAATTTGCTCCGTTAGATAATTTGATTATGAGAAATGTATAATTGGAAGACTATATTTAGTCGATTTTAAAGGGTATTGATTATTTTCTACTAGTTTGGGTCCCTCTCGATTAGTTTTAACCGATTCAGTTCATTTTGATGCATATAGCTCAAATCATGTACCGAGCTACATAATTTGGTTTCAATTAGACTAGATGAGTCGCTTCGATTTGCTCGCCTCTTTTCTATTATTAGCATGTTCAATTCAATTCCTATTCCTATCAAGTTGCCATTCTCTTGCGTTTCATTTAGCCTTGTGCTTTTTTTCTCGATTTCTCTTCATCGCACACACTACTCCCGGCCACAATTCGTAAACCTTCTTCCTTACCAGAGTTACTTGGACCAATACTTTTTGTTTTTAAAGTACTAAAATAAATATCCTTGTTTCCCATTCTTGTCCGTCCAGTTTTTCCTCCTCCAGCTGGATTTAGCCATTTCTTACCACCTATGTAGCACCGATACCGGTACGTGGAATCACAGAAATGCGGACACGACTACAGGGATACGGAAAAACAAAAAAAGTAGGATACGGATACAAGGTCATATTTATAAATATTAAAAGTTATGGGGTGTATTTACAAATATTAAAAGTTGCAGGGATGTATTTATAAATATTAAAAATAGATTTTTTTTGGAAATATATACATATAATATCCTATGAAATATACAAAAAAATAATTTTTTTTGGATATATATATATATATATATATATATATATATATATATATATATATATATATATATATATATATATATCCTATATATACATATATACTCATTCATTACATATACATCATAATATTTCTCATATACACTAGTGCATCTCGAAATATAAATGTAGACATGTAGTCTATAAGTTATTAATTTAAAATGAGAAATAAGTCAAACAACTACAATCTTGAAATTAAAAGTGCAAGTACCAAAGTTCTAGAATAATTAAGATAGAAAACAATATTAAAAAATCTCTAACTTCTAATACATATTTTCACTAGAAGTATTAATTTCTAGGAATAATATATATCATCTTCCAAAAAAAACGGCCTCCAATTCTGGTTCATCTATGGAGAGGTTGACAAACTCAAGTACTCCTATAATCCTATATCCTCCATGCTCCCAAAATCATCTCCACCAACATCCCACATTTTTCTATTGTCATTCCTATACTGCTTAGAAGCTCGTGATAAAAGACGAAGATTGTTATGAACAAATACCAAATCATCCGCTCGCTTTGGAAGCAGTTTGTTTCTTCTAAATGAATTAATAAAAGAATAAGAACTCCAATTCCTTTCTGAGCATGATGATGAAGTAGGTTGTCCTAGTATTTTGAAAGCTAATTTTTGAAGAAAAGGTGCATTAGAACCAAAGCATGCCCACCACTTCTTAGGTTCCATGTAATATCTGCTTGCAATAGATTCAGGATCCTCAAATTTTGGGTATTTTTTTTATTCAAAAAAGTTGATACGGCCCGGGAACGTATGGTACAGGTATCCTAGAGTATCGGATACGGGAACGTATCCGATACCCCAATACGCTACCCTAGGGAAGTATCAGTGCTTCATAGCTTACCACCCTTGGTATGCACTCTTCCTCCGGAGACCCTTAGCCAATACTCGCATGTTCTCACCATTCCTTCCATGCTACCTACCATCTAAGGATGTCAATGGGGGTGGGGACTCGTGGGGAACTGCCCCGTGGGGGAAGGATGAGGCGGGACTTGGGGCGGGGGCGGGGGGCGGTGATGGGTGAGATATTTATACCCTGCTAAAATATGGGGCGGGAGATGGGGATTACTACACCCGCCTCATCCCCGCCCCGTCCCTGTTACAAATATATACTCAAACATACATATATTAATAATGTATAAACATCTTTATAAAATATAAAGTAACAATTTCTACACCACAATTGGAGGGAAAAATCCCACCCAAAATGAAGACATAATGGTGAATTGATGCAAAAATTAAATTTGGTGATGTATTAACTAAGCATTAACGAATGACAACGGCAAATTTCTAATAAAGTATGTAAGAATTCCGTTCCAAAAAAATTAAGTACGTAACAAAGAATAAAAAAATTACAAAAAACAAAGAAGAAAAATAAAATCCCATATTTTTTTAAAGTGCTGTAACTTTTTTATTTGTACTCAGATTGTTACAAAAAAACATATCAAAATTCATAGTTTTTTATTATCTTTCATATGACACCAATATTGAATATCTAAAAATTACCAAAAACAACACTTTAAAAACATCTTTTTTTAAGTGCTATAAATTTTTTATTTGTACTCCGATTGTTACAGAAAATATATCAAAATTCATAATTTTTTATTAACTTTAATGTGTTACCAATGCTGAATATCTTTATATAATACTACATATGAAATACAAAAATTGCTATAATTATTGGAAGGAAAATTCTCGAACAAAATGTAATCTTTATTTTTATCTTTATATAATATAAAGTAACAGTGTTGCTACAACTATTGGAGGGAATATCCCTGCCCAAAGAAAAGACATGATTGAAATTAATGTTGAACCTGAAAAATGCCACCCAAGGGAGAAACGGTATAGTAGAGCATACATGCATATAAGGAAATGAAATATATGATGAAGCATTTATTGTACACAAATCTTTATCAAACAATACGTGTATATTAATCTGCAAACCGAGATATAATAGGATAAACTGCCAACCTACTATAAAAAAGTGTATTCAACAAATTAACTAAAAATCAAAATAGTGTAAGTAAATATGCAATCAAGATATTAGATTCGCTAACCTGCTATTGAAATTTACGATCACCAATAAAAAAATTATTATATTGTTCAATGATTTTTGGAAAGAAGGAAGACACATCCATCATTTATTTATGTCTACATTTGAAGTTGACATATATGCATTGTGCACCTATAAATGCATTACGGTTTGACTAGATTATTTTTCAAATTGCTTATACGAACCACAAAAAAAAAAGAAAAATACTACCTTATATGTAATATATGTTGTATATGTTATGTACGTATAGGTAATTACACCTAAACAATAAAAAAAGCAAGTGCAACTACTTTAGGTTGTTAAAATCTAAATAATCCATATTCTCTCCCATTGCATAAATGAGCCTAAATTATTATGTCCAAATTTTGTCCAAAAATAGTACTACCTCTGACCTCTAATATTTGGACGGAAGAAAGTGGTGTGGTTTTTAAGAAAAATAGAATTACGTGGTTGATAATGAGTTGATAAAGTGAGAATAAATTAAGAATGAATTAAAGTGATCACACAAATGTTATCAAATACGGTATAAGACAATAATAGGGGGACATCCCAAAATGAAAAATGGGACAATCATAGAAGAACGGAGAGAATACCATTGAAAGCAATTTTAAGTTTCTAAAACCTAAATAATTTAATTGCTTATATAAATAGCAACAAAATTTGAATTCCCATCCTCAAAATCTGTATATATACTTAATTTTCCGCTTTTCATTAACAATCCCGGTAAGAACAATGCATCTAGATGAAATACAGTCCAAATCTATTTGTTGTGCTATAAAAGATATAATTAGCGAAGAGGGAAAAATCATATAGAATTATATAGAATGCTAAATCTGATGAAGTGTGTAATATTATATTGTTCTTATATAAGCTAATTATTTTATATAAATATGTATACATGTTAAGTTATGCATATCTATATATACACATATTATATGTGTATCCATAATGCTAAAATGTAGGTGTTTTTTTCTTCCTAAAATTAAGATCATGTGGGAAATGAAAAAGTAATTTTGATTCTCAAGAGCTTAGGGACATTAAAAAGTTAAAAAGTAATATAAGAAGTATTTTATATTGTGTTTACTTGGAATGTTTTCAGTCCCAGACCACAACAGATCAAGCTTCAACATACCAGACCAGGTTACACTTTCATAGTTATAAAATACCTAAAGACTAGACATTTACCAGACCAGACCCGAACAGTTCAGACCATACCAGACCAGACTTAAACATACCAGATCAGATCAACAAATATCAGTCCAAGTAAAAACATCCAAAACGGGCTGATGAAGTATGTATTATTGTGTAGGAAAACTTCATTCTAATGCGTGAAATCAAGAGTTACTCATTTGATGGGAAAATGGTTGATAAACTATGATAACCTAAAAAAAGTATGGTCACCAAACGGGCCCATCCCACCACAAAAGTTTTTTTTTTGCTTTTTTTTTCATAAGTGGTTTATTTTAAATATTAGGTGAGAAGAGATTAATAGTAAAATTCGGTAGTGATTGAAAACAATTGAATTGAAAAGAAAAAGATATAGCGTTCAACCTCAGATTAGACTAGAGTCAAATAGACTATATTAAACCATACTTCGATAATTTCAAAAATACACAAAAATATGACATTTACCAAATCACTTAAGACCAGACCAAACTAGACCATAATTTTTTTTATCAAATTTAAAACATCCTAAACCACAACAGTAATAACTAAAATGTCACAACACATACCAATGGAATTATCATTGTTAATATAAATTTAAATAATTATATTTTACTATGGAATTAGACCACAATCAAATTTTAAATATTTTTTGTATTTGCACCCCTTTATTCAATGTGAATTGTTAAGGCTTGATTGAAAACACAAAAAATACATTAACATATGATTGTTCTCCACTTTTTGAGTAAATTAGATGCAACCTCTTATTGGCATAGTGTTTTTAATATTTGTATGAATTATATACATCTTAATAATATAAATGAATATTTACTTTGTATTTATTTGTAAACCATCTAATATGTTTATCCTTGAACTTTATTAAATGTTGCAAACTTGGAACAATTCTTTGCACCAAAACAGAGTTTGATAAATGAAAGTTTGCACCTAATATGATTTCTCGCTCACGCGGCTAATAGTAAATGTGTTTTGGAGGTGAATATTATATCCGGCAAAAGTATTGGTCAAACACTTTATATTTCACAGTTATCATCATTGTTCTAAAAATCGGCCTAGGCGGTCCAATTAATCGGCCTAGGCGGCCTAGTCGGCCATAACTGTAGAGGTCGAGTCGGCCTAGTCGGCCAAAAAATCGGCCTAGTCGGCCGCCTAGGCGCTAGGCGCTAGGCGCCCCTCAACCGCCCGACTAGCGCCTAGCGAGTTTTAGAACAATGGTTATCATTGGTCCTGTCATATGACAAAGTTTTTTCACATTTTAATGCTGGAAATCCTCAATCATCGTTTCATTTCCCACGAGTCCATGACATAAAAAACAATCAAAGATAATGTCTGTACAAGTGGATATACATCCAAATTCCATTTTTATGCATGGTCAATTGTATGTTGTCATGTAAAGTGTCACCTCAATGGGTGGGTTAAGGATTCATATATTTGATGATGATGGTCATGCTATCAACACCAGTGGCCTAAATGATTTTTTTGAAAATTTATGATACTTTTTGTATATTATGAAGATATATGATTATTCTTTTTTATAAAGTTTCATGTGACCCACTAATAATTGTATTACAGTGTCATTTCATTGTAACATAGAGCTTGCTTTTACACTTTATCATTAATTTTAATTTTAATTTTAATTTTAATTTTAGTTTTACTTGCATTTTTCCATACAGTCCAAATTTTCATTTGCTTACAACTTCTATGATATAATCAAAGTTACAATATACTCCGTATAAAAGCTATTTTCTTTTTTATTTAGCAAAATTACATAATATGTATCATCTTAACAAAATATAATTTTAAATAATATGTTAATGTACTCCGTATTATATTCTAGATATATCTCGTGCATCGCACGGGTACTTCGTCTAGTATTTAATTAAACTATATGTAGTATAAAACAAACACATACATGTGCATAGACATACATACATTTATGTGTATTAGGTATGTTAATGAACTAATACTACATATGTATTATATTAGAATAATACTACATAATAAGTAATGACTAAAAATATATGTATCATAAATGATATATGAGTTTTAAAATTGAGAAACCGAGTAAATAGAACACACACACATATGCGTATAACATATATAATTAATTGTGTTATAATTGATGAGAAATTTGGAAAGACATACATGAGGATAATATGCGTACTTATATTTTTAGTTTTATTATTTTCATAGAATTTATTCAAATTGAAAAATTATTAAAAATTGACGGTATTATCTTTTATCGAACACAATATTATCTACTAGTTTAACTCTTATAGTGCTATATATAAAGGATTAAAAAATACGCAAATAAGATACTTAAAATATATATGGGGACACCTGTGGGCACCCATGGGGGACAGCGGGGTGGGGCGGGTCTGGGAGTTACGGGGGATGGGGTGGGGATGGGGTGATCTTTTTAGACATGGGGCGGGGGATGAGTTAGTGAACCCTGCCCTGTTGCCATCCATACTACCATAATCACATTGGGATAAAAAATGCTTGAATGTCCTTTTATTCTACACATAAAATAAATGTTAGGCAATTTCTCATAATGAAATTTCACTTCAAGACCAATCTCACCTACAATTTCAAACGCCTCTTCAAAGATTTATCAATATCCAATGTAACCCTAATACGCATAAAATGCTTCCAAAAAGCATCAAAATTATATTCATCAATTTTCACAAACGAATCAATAAAATCTTCATTCTTTATTTAATTTCTACCGTTAAAAACTCTATGAGAATGTCATAAATCTGGACCTAGAAAACTGCCTTAGATAAGAGAACTAATAAGAGTAAATGGGTAAGTCCCTTTCATCAAATTTTATTATCGCAATCAAAATTTGATCAAACAACCACGGAACATCATTTAGAATCATATTCATGTCCAACTACATGATAGAAATGAAATAAAAGATGCTATGATCCCAAATCAGTGATAGAAATTCGACTCGAAGGTTTCTAAATTGCTGCCATAGTACCCCGAAAAAAGAGAACTATATCGAACGTTCCACATGATTGAGCCCATAAGCGATAACCTCACGACATTCAATGCCCCTAATTGATTAGAGTCTACAATCATCACTCCCCCTTCTTCCTCCATTTACATAATATCATAAGCCCGCTTCAAAGCTGCCATGTTTCCTGCCATCGAAGACCCCTACTTTTAATGCTCGTTGCTGCCTAGCTTCCGAAGCCACCAATCCAGATCTGTTTGTCACTTCCTTCGATCGAAGCAGCCAAAGAGGCGCTGACACTCTTAACCCTAGGACTCGCCTAGCTCTGTCGCATTATTGAGTTTATTGTGTTTTAAGAAAGTTAGAATCATACACGAGAATACAAAAAGTGACTTGAGTATGTGACCAATTATGTGAGCTAACAAGAGGATTTTTCATGTAGTTGATACTTGATATGGTTGTTGTTGACTTGTTGTTGAAGTTCTTCCACTCTTATTATGCACTTGTAGACTTGCAAAGTAATAGAAGTTCTGCATCCCCAATCCAATATTTGACAAGTGAGAATATCCATTTGCAGCGTACTTAAATTTATGGGAGGTCCCGAAGTCAACTCAAATTAATTAAATTGGGGGTTTTCATAAATTTAGGTGTGAAAGTTAGTATTTTTGTTGAAAGTTTGAAACTTTAATCAATAGGGATTAGTTCTTGAGGAACTAGAATTAATAGGTCAAAGTTGACATATCTAGTGATAACGAAAAAGATAATAGAAAGCATTAAAAGACATTTATATGACTATCTCATCCCATAATGTAAGATACACACGGTTTGACTAGAGTTTTTGGAAAATAAAACATAAAATGATTGTTTTACCAATCTAACTTACAAAAGGTAAGAAAAAAATGAAAAACAAGACATGTCCACAAAAAGTGAAGGGTAGAATAGTTGATAGATAAATAGATAAAGTAAGAAAAGTAAAAAATTAATGGAGTTCAATTTAGAAAAATGATCATATATTTGGAACAATTCAAATTAAAAATTGCATCTTACAAAATGTGACGGAGGATGTAGTGAAAGTGGACCGACAATAGCCCAATGAAAGAAAACCTGGTCAAATGTCCGCAACCAATATTTGGTCCAAATCACTAGTACTTTAGCAGCCCAGTATAGTATCCTGCCCAATTCTATTTAAAAATACCCAGTCCAAATTCAAGGAGCAAAATTACTCCTCTAGTTCGCCTGTCCCGTCCAATAATATTACACCCGGAGACAGACTGAGAGGGAATGCGGACGACGGAATGTTACTCCAGAGTCCAGACTACTACGTAGTACTCCGTAGCTTTTTCATTGCAGTCGAATGCTTCAACTTCTATTCAATCTTCAAAAATCAAGAAAGCAGCTCATCAAGAGCGTTCATTTCCTTCTCCCCCATTTCACTCCTTTCCTACCATATAATTGTCCGTTTCCCTCCTTTACCCACGCTTGTGCATCAGCTACGAAAGCCACCATCAATGAAGCAACTTCGATTAACTTTCATGGCATTGCAAAACATGTGATATCAATATGTTCACCTCTCTGTGACAGCAGCAAACGCGAGACCTCAGTCAACTCTTATCTCAAAGAGTGCCTCCTTTCGCTTTCTTGTATTTCCCCCGAAACTGTTCGCAAATTCTGGAGAGTTCCTGTGTTAAAACCTCAAGATGTTCTTCAAATTTTGCTGGCTTTTCAATGTCGTGGAGATAATTTTCAGCTCGAGGCTAAAAAGATTGAATCTTTATGGGGGATATTTAGGCGGGCTGGTGAGCAGAGTAAGGGTTTTGGGCATCTTCCTCAATCTTACAAGATCATGGCCTCATTGCTTGTCCGGGTTCAGCTGTTTGAGGAGGTTGAATGCTTGCTTTCGGTGGCTGGAACTAGGGGAATTCTCTTGGATGATCATGAAATTTTCAGTAATTTGATTCAAGGGTATGTGGGTGAGCTCCAATTAAAGAAGGCTGTTTCAAATTATGATAGAATGAGAATTCTAGGTTTATCCCCGTCCTCTCCCTGCTATCAACACCTTCTTGAGTTCTTGGTTCAATTAAATGTGACACATTTGGCGCCTCAAATCTTTGCTGATGCTATAGAGCTCGGTCTGGGAAAGATAGTAGCAGAAGGGTGTATTTATGGGGGAGTTGTTCGGATGTTGTGTCTAGAAGGAAAAGTTCAGGATGCTAGAAATCTTGTTAAGAAAGTTCTAGCTCATGGATTTAAGCCCACTGATATAGTTCTCAGTTCAATGGTCAATGCATACTGTGAGAAGAAGGATTATGATGATATACTTAGTTTCTTTGTTGAAGCAAGATGCATCCCTGATTTTCATGTTGGCAACAAGATCATGCATTCTTTGTGTTCATGTTATGGTTCAGATTTTGCCAATTCGTTCCGCCTGAAGCTGGAAGGACTAGGTTTTTGTTCCAATGAAATAACCTTTGGGATTTTGATTGGTTGGAGTTGCCGTGAAGGTAAAATGAAGGATGCCTTCATTTATTTTTCTGAGATTCTGTCAAGAAATCTGAAACCTCAAATATATTCATATGACGCTCTTTTGAGTGGGTTTTTCAAGAAGGGTATGTGGAAGCACTCTCAAGAAATTATCTATGAAATGAAGGATAGGGCAGAAGCGCTCCATTTGTCAACTTTCTTGGTTCTCTTAGCAGGATACTGTAAAGCTAGACTCTTTGATGAAGTCAAAGCAACAATTTCCCAGATGGCAGATTGTGGTTTCATCCAACCAATATCGCTCGAAGACACACTTAGCAAAGCTTTTGCACTGCTGGGACTTGCTCCTTCTGATGTGAAGATAAGAAGAGACAGTGAGTTTGGATATTCTAAGGCAGAATTTTTCGATAACCTTGGGAATGGACTTTTTCTGGATACAGATATCGGAAAGTATGAGACTACTATGACTGAAGTACTTGACAATGCCATGCTTCCAGATTTCAAGTCCCAAATATTGAAGAGTATTGGGAGTAATAAAGACATTAAAGAAGCTATTGTAACCGTAGACAATATGGGTAAGTGGGGTCAAATGGTGTCCCTACCTTTGTTCACAACATTAGTCAAAGGGATTTGTGAATGTCGTGGCAGTATGAAAACAGTTATCCATTGTTCAGAGGAAAGCCCTATCTTTAACTATCATCAGCTTGATCATGAAACGTTAAATACACTTGCTCAGGCTTTTGGTAAAAAAGGTTTCATGCTCAGGGCTAGAATAATTGTTAAAGGATTGATGATGAGGCATCAAAGTATTGAGAATATAACACATACTGTCCTGTTAATTGGGCTATGCAAGAAAGGCGACCGGAGAGCTCTAGCTAATTACTGGCAGCTTGCACAAAGATATAACTGGTATCCGGGTTTGAAGGATGGCAAAACTCTTCTCAGTTGCCTATGCCGACAAGGATTTCTTGACAAGGCTCTAGAGCTATTTGAGGTCATGTTAGTGCACTACCCTCACAAGGAAGACTTTGGTAATTCTTTTAATGAGTATTTTGAGCAGCTTTGTGCCCGTGGGTTTACAAACTCTGCACGTGTTTTAGTCGAGACACTTATAAACCGTGGCTACAAACCTGATGACATGTCTTATGGCCATCTTATCAGTGTCCTCTGTAAAGAGAAGAAATTTTCTGAAGCTTTTTTGATATCTGAAACTATGCTTGCTAAGAATTTCCCTCTGCCCTTGGATGTATGTAATGTTTTAATTCCATGGCTATGCAGGACTGGTAAGATCGAGAAAGCTGTCTTTTTGAAAGATATTGTCTCAAAAAAACAACCTTCTGCTTTGTTTTATGTGCACTGTGCTCTAATGCATGGTTTTTGCCAGTCTGGGATGGTAGATGAAGCATCAAACCTCTACCAAGAGATACATAGACATGGGCTGTCCTTTGACATGGAAGCCTATAATCCTCTAGTTCAGGGGTACTCTAAAGCTAAAAACTTCAAGAAAATCGGAGAGCTGCTTGGTGTCATGATCCGTAAGAACTTGGATCTTACACTTGCAAGCTATCGAAGTTTAATGAGCCTTATGTTTGCAGAAGGCAAGCTCTGTCTTGCACTGAGCTTGAAAAAGGTTATGATTAAGCAAAACAACCTCCCACACTCAGTGATATATAGTATACTGATTTTTCACTTGTTTTCAGTGAAAAAAACTTCAGTTGTGAATACACTTGTGTATGAAATGCATCCCCTTGAAGAAGTGACTTACAATTTTCTCATTCAGGGATTCTCCATGTGTCATGATGCAAAATGTTCATTGCGATATCTGAAAGACATGATGCGAAAAGATCTGAAGCCAAATAACCGTAGTCTTAGAGAGGTTATAAAATGCCTTCTCTGCAATGGGGATCTAGAAAAAGCTCTTGACTTGAGCAAGGAAATGGAATTCAGAGGTTGGACTCTTGGTTCACTTACTCAGTATGCTATGATTGAAGGCCTTCTTGCGCATGGCAACCTCAGTGAAGCCATAGAGTTGTTGGACCGTATAGCACAAAAAGACTTAATCCCATCGAAAATAAACTATGATGTTCTTATTAAGCGTTTTTGTCAGCAAGGAGAAGTATACAAAGCAGTAGATCTTCTGAACATAATGTTAAAGAAAGGGAATGACCCAGACACTGCCAGTTTTGATTATGTTATTCAGAGTTTCTGTTCTTGTAACATTTTGGATCAAGCTCTGGACTTTCATGCTGAGATGTTATGCAGGAACCTAATACCAAACAGCAACACTTGGAACAAACTTACCCATAGCTTATGCAATGGAGGACGAGTTGCGGAGGCAGAAATGTTAATCCATTCCATGGTTCAGATTAGCAAGACCCCAAGCAGGGAAATGTATTGTGCTGTAGTTAATGCGTACCGGTTTGGGAACAATTTTATCAAAGCATCCCATGTCTTACACACAATGCAACAAAATGGGTATGAGCCTGACTTTGACACTCACTGGGCTCTAATAAGCAATTTGAGCAATTCCCGTGATGAAAATACGGGTCAAAGCAAATCTGGAGGATTTTTATCAAGATTTCTTTCTGAAGTTGGTTTTTCTCGGGAGATTCCAAATGCCAAGAAGGGGTGACATAGTGTATGTTTTTTGCACTTAAATTTGTGGAATTTGTAATTCTTTCTTTTCAATGTGCCGTACTGCATTGTTTAGTAGAAACTGGATTAATTCAATATGTGATTAACAAGTTTTGTATTTCATAGAGATAGGTAGGCCATTGAAATGGCACAAGTCTTCATATCTTCTAATATATATAAAGAGCGAATGGCTTTGAGCATGGCCTATTTGCCATTAAAATAACCTTCCATTTGCTCTCTCCTGTTTGCTGATGAGGTGCTCAATTTCTGGGGAATTCTTGAACTTTTAAATTTCTGGGGAAGGACAAATATGGAGGGAAAGTGGAGGTTTTGGGTAGGGGTTAGGTTACTATTATTTTCATTGTCAAATTTGGAATTCTAGGACTTTCAAATGAGCTAAAAAAACCTTTGGTAAAAAAGTACCCACCAAATCATGCCCCGACAATCTACGATTGTTTTTGTAAAGCGCATTAAGGTGTTCATATGCTATATGTTTGGGTTTCCTTTCATATCTGATTTTTGTGTTGATTTGAGATAATAAATAACTTTAATTTTTTTAGCTTAGCTAATCTTGAATCTTAAATATATGCCTGGTTTTGTTAAAAAAATATTTCCTTTTAGGTATGTTTGAAATTCATAATCTTGTCTTACTTTGAGTTCTAGCTTTTATTTTCTAGAAAAGAGAAGCTTGAACTGACTTGGGAAGAGGGAAACAGAATGGTTGAGATCCTTGATACCCCCAATGTCCCATACCTTTGTGTGGCTGGATTCTCTGGATGGGAAACATAATAGAGGAGAATGTGCTGTGGTGGGTGTTTGCATGATTGGTGGTAGGTACAGTGCTCATTTCTCGAAAATGTAATATATTAAAGCTTTCAGACGTGTAGGGACTATTTATGTTTCAAAGTGAGCAGTGGAGTAAAGCATTTTTTACATTCTGGATGAAAAGGGGTAAGCAATTGGATGAGAATGTGTTTAAAGCATTTTTGAGTTGGATGGCGATTTCTGCCATTGCGCTGTTTTTTCATTCCTGTTTTTGGGAGATAACTTTGACATTGTTTTTTATCTGCATTGAAATTGTACTCCAGGATAAATGTTTTGAAGTGTTTAGAGAGTTCTACCAAACAAAAACAAAGCACAGGAAGCTTCTATAGATATACTCACTGGGTTGTAACACAAGCAGACACTTTGAGCAGAAAGCCATAGTGTTTGTTGATTGTGACTATTTTCCAGGTTCATAAAGAGTGCATACTTTCATAAATTTATTTAACCTTTATAAATGCAAATTATCAGGAGTCCATAAACAATTAATATTAGTGTGCTGAATATACCATCTCAGTTGGGAGGTATTTGGTTTCACATTACAGGTATAGGTGTATATATTATGATGAAAGAATCGCGAATTTATGGTAAGTCATTATGTGAGCCTAATAAAAATAAGTCAATGTATGATGCTTTGGGTTTGATATGGACGATTTTAGTATGGGAAAGTGTTTTGGGCCCATGTTCCTTTTTTATTCAAGTAAAAAAAACTTCTCAGAATCACTCCAATTTTACACAATCTTCTAGCAGAGTGATCACTAAAGCCTGATCACTAACGGCAGTTTGATAGACTATGTAATCTGCCGTTGATTGTATCTTTCCTTTCACTATTACTGTTTTTTTAGACAGTAAAAAACCTTGAGTGAACCCCACAAAAGTTAGCTAAATACTTTTTCCTAACAATGAATTTCAATGTCATTAAACTATATTCTACCACATGTTTTTTAGCAAAAAACACATGTTTTTAGGCTCCTTTAGACAATAACCCAAATATGTTAGGTTTACACCGAACATCTCTATATTTGGTTTGACTCACAGAGATTGCAGTTTTTGAGATTTAATATCAATTTTAATTTACATCAAAAGTCCAACGTTTATTTTGTAATCTTAGAACATAATAAAGTACTTAAGAGGATATACAGTTCTCACATATCATGTTTGATAAACTATGCGTCTGTCCATGTTTGCTCCAATTACTTTTTCTAAATGCAACCAGTTCTGTATGTAAGATAAGATACTATAACATAAAGTACATTGTAACAACAATATTACAACAAGCTCACCACTGATTACATATATGTGCATAGTCATTCTTTTGTCCTATCATCAGTTTCTATACACAACTCAACAAGATGTTGAGACCTCCTCTCTCACACCATCACAGTAAAAGCAGTAAACAATAAATTTCACACATCATTTAATACTTTTGAAGATCCTTCCTATATATATTCTTCACCAATCACCATCATCTCATTCATCTCACAACCTGCTGGCTGCTGCATAGGAGGAGGAGGATAGAGATCCTTGCAACCATTCTTCATCCTATTATCTGCTCCAGCACTTCTTCTCATTGTCAATGACCCATGGCAGCGAAGAGGGATTGATGTACCGCGACAGGGTTGTAAATCCTGGGATGAATGTTACTGTTGTTATTATCATCAGCATATTGTGATGAAGAGGAATTATATGTTCTTCTGCTGAAGCTTATTATGTTTTGCGTTAATGGACTCATATGTTTTGCGTTAATGGACTCAGTTAGTGTCATGTAGTTTGGTATGTTGTTACTCGGCAGCACCTCTTCTTCTCGCAATGAAGAAGACATCAGTGAATGACTGGTGCTGTCATTGTTATACAACTGATGCCAGGATGGCAATGATGATGAACACAGCTGATCGGATGGTGGGGTTGCTTCTTTTGCTGCTGAAATCTTTGTAGACATGTTGTTTCTCGTGATTTTGACAGAAGAGCTATTAGTGTGTTCTTTTATTCAGTGATGTCAATAGCGGCGCACTAGCGCGCTATCCCGGAATAGCGGTGCGGCAGACATGGAAGGCGCTATGTGGAGGGCTCTAGCATAGCGTTTGGGTGTAGCGGCCATAGCGCCCGCTATTGCAGTGGGGCGGAGAAGGGTATGGCGGCCGCTAACGCGACGCGTTTTATGGGAAAGAGGTTACTACGCAGACATAGAAGGGGTTTTAGCGTTTAATTTTTTAGTGCCAACATAGAAGGTGTAAATTAGACTTTTAAAACAATATATTAACCTACTTATGGTCTTACACGTACGTCAAAGGCTACTAAACGTTCAAAACGAAGCCAGCTTTTGAAAATACTCAGTTGAACCTCTGTGATGACTTCTCCAAGAACGACGATCATCTATTTCTGCTGCTCTGCGGTGGCTTCTTCTCCAAGAATGACACATGTTGCCCTCTTCTGCCTTCAGCCCTTCAGTAGTACCTTCTGCTGCAACATCTTCTTCCCCAACCTTTGCTGCAGACCTGCAGTCTTCTGTTTAAGCCCACAGGAGAACTTTGACTCCCACATTCGTACATATAGACCTTAAACTCTTACACTAGAACCTTGGTTTTGACTCAATGTTTTGACTTAAGATGTTTTAATTATTAATAGCATCTTAGATGTACCTTAAAGGTAATAGATTTACCTTACAGTAGTTAAAACTTAAAACATATGCTTCCAGTAAGGCAAAGAGTATTTGGTTTCATATGTATGTATTACATATGCTTCCGGTAGTTACTTATCTATTATATTTGAAAGTACTCTAAATAGAGGTCATCCCGCTATCCGCTATACCACAATAGCTAAAATGTTCATCTATAGTCACTTCAGTCAAAAAAAGTAACTCAAAGCTCACTATTTTGATTATCATACAATTCATCGTGCGAAATAAAAAGTTACATGTTTGGTGAAAAGAATGACTTATAAAATTATTAAGTGAAATAGATGGGTCACCAAATGGGCTCTAAAATTTCATGATTGTATAACGCAATTTCATTCTGCAATAAGGGAACATTTTATTTATTGACTGAAAGTGGTAATAGAGAATGATTGTGACAGTTATATATTCTGTTGATTCGATTTGAGTTTTTTTTAAATAAAATATTTTAGAACATAATGTGCCCTTATGAACACTTTCAGCCAATAAACAATGTGTTCTCTAATTGCATCATTAAACTCCGCTATGCAATCATGATGTCTTGATTTTAGAACTTGAGTACACTTAAAAAGTCATGAGTCCAAAACCCTCCACCTATGTGGTCTTCATATTTATTTCTATTTTTATATAACATTAAAATTATCACCAATGACATCAATATATGTCATACTCATGTGATTTACAATCATCATCCCTTTATTGCCCCTGCATTTGATTATGTACGTGCGTCATTGTTTGAAGTAGACATATTGTAGAGAAAGCAGACGTTAAATAGTAATTATTTTTAATCCAGATAAAATAAAAGATAAATTGTAAAATTTTGAAGGCAACATAATAAAATTATATGAAGGTAGTATATTGAATAGCACCATAACATTCATATATAAATGGCAACATGAAAACAATTATTATTATTAAGGTCATTTATTATATTCGATAAATGAATGAATACTATAATGACATGTGGCCATGAATGAGCAATAAAATGACACGTGGTAATATGATTTTCTCAATGTAACTTTCAATTGTATAATATACAGATAACATAATCACTAAATATTAAACATAATACATCTATAACATTAAAAATATCACCAATGACATCATTATATGTTATACTCATATAATAACATTACAATCATCATTCCTTTATTGCCCCTGCATTTGATTATGTACGTACGTCACTGTTTGAAGTAAACATATTGTAGAGAAAGCAGACATCAAATAGTAATTATTTTTAATCTAGATAAAATAAAAGATAAATTGTAAAATTTTTAAGGCAACATAATAAAATTATATGAAGGTAGTATATAGAATAGCACCATAACATTCATATATAAATGGCAATATGAAAACAATTATTATTAAGGTCATTTACTATATTCAATAAATGAATGAATACTATAATGACATGTGGCCATGAATGAGCCATAAAATGACATGTGACAATATGATTTTCTTAATGTAACTTTCAATTGTATAAGACTAGTATCTGACCCGTGCGATGCACGGTATGTAGTACCGTATATAAAAATAAACGCGAGAAAATAAATAGTAGAGATACTTGTATATATAAGTTTTATTTTAATACTCCTTCCATGTTTAAGAGATTTCTGCATTAGCTTTGGCACATTATTTTAAAAGAAAAATAGTACGGGCAATGAATAGTGTACAAAAAATAGGAGAGAAGGTGTAAAAATATGAAAGAGAAGATTAAAATTTAAAAGTAGAAAAAGAAAGGGTGATTGAGTATTTTTTTAAGGAAAATTTACCGAAAAGGAAAAGTGTTGCAAACTTTAAAATACATCCCAAAAAGAAAAATGTAGCAAACTTTAAAATATGGAGGGATTAATATTTTTTGAAAAAAAACCATCAATAATTTGGATTATTGTGAATGGATTGACAATATTTGAGATTTTTATTTTCAATTTTTCATACTATAATGAGATTAGAGTTGTAAATACGGTGTATTATGATGGTAAAAATGGACATGATTGTAAAGATTATATGGAGTAGATGGTAACCGAGATAAACATGATTGTAATTTTTAAAACATAGAAATGAATCTTTATGTACATGTTAAGATTTATATGAATTATTTTTTATGTTACTTTATTTTGTTACCAATTACATGGAGCCTAAAATAACATAGATTAAAGACGGTTGAATGTTTGTGATTTCTTGAATATTTATAGAAACAATTTATATTTAGATGGTAATTTTTTACTACCAATTAATACTCCCTCCGGTTCTCAAAGACCTTCACACTTTGACTTCACACAGATTAAAAAAATAAATTTGATTTTACTGTGGAGTGCACTTTTTGGCACTGTTTAGACACTATTTGGCACTGTTTTGTACTGTTTTGGTGTAGATAATTTGCCAAATAAGGAAATGGGAAGAAATGTGAAGTTGATTTCGGGACTTCCCGAAAAGAAAAGTGAGAAGTTGTTTAAGATCCAGAGGGAGTAATATACAATAATTGATATTATATCATTCATGTGGAGTAAAAGTAATATTGATGGAGCATGAGAGTGAATTACATAAAGCCTAAAATAACATGGATTAAAGATGGTTGAATGTTTGTGATTTCTTGAATATTTATAGAAACAATTTATATTTAGATGGTGATTTTTTTACTACCAATTAATAATATACATTAATTGATGATATTATATCATTCATGTGGAGTAAAAGTAATATTGATGGAGCATGAGAGTGAATGAGTATTCTAGGAGTGACATGTGGCAAATGCTTAAAGGATGACATGTGGCAAAAACTTCCACCAATATATGACTCTTAAATGTATACTACATAGATATAGATATAGATTTAAAATATGGAGGGATTAATATTTTTTGAAAAAAAAAAACTAATCAATAATTTGGATTATTGTGAATGGATTGACAATATTTGAGATTTTTATTTTCAATTTTCACCTGCAGACTGGCAGATTGCTGGCACCGCATACCCGCGACCCAACAGTAATACAAAACAGATAAAGGAAAGTAACTAACAGGTTATATTGTAAATGACAATTGTAAGTTGTATCAGCTAAATGAAAACAATTGTAATAAATAAATGGTATAATGGGAATAATTGTAATCAATGTTATTAAATATGAATAAGTATTATAGTGACATGTGGTCATGAGTGAGTGATAGAATGACATGTGGCAATATGATTCCTCCAATGTGACTTTCAATTGTATGTTATTTAATATGAATAAGTATTATAGTGACATGTGGTCATGAGTGAGTGATAGAATGACATGTGGCAATATGATTCCTCCAATGCGACTCTCAATCGTATAATATATAAAATATAAATATAGATTAGTAATACAAAACAGATAAGGGAAAGTAACTAACATGTTATATTGTAAATGACAATTGTAATTTGTAACGGCTAAATGAAAACAATTGTAATAAATGGTATAATGGGAATAATTGTAATCAATGTTATTAAATATGAATAAGTATTATAGTGACATGTGGCCATGAGTGAGTGATAGAATGACATGTGGCAATATGATTTCTCCGATGTAACTCTCAATTGTATAATATATAGATATAGATATAGATATAGATATAGATATAGATATAGATATAGATATAGATATAGATATAGATATAGATATAGATATGGATATAGATATGGATATGGATATGGATATGGATATGGATATGGATATGGATATGGATATAGATATGGATATGGATATAGATATGGATATAGATATCGATATAGATACAGATATAGATACAGATATGGATACAGATATGGATACAGATGTGGATACAGATATAGATACAGATATGGATACAGATATAGATATAGATATAGATATAGATATAGATATAGATATAGATATAGATATAGATATAGATATAGATATAGATATAGATATAGATATAAATATAGATATAGATATAGATATAGATATAGATATAGATATAGATATAGATATAGATATAGATATAGATATAGATATAGATATAGATATAGATATAGAAAATCGAAAGTGAACTGAAACATACCGAACCAATCATACCATGATTTCAACTTTTGAAATGAAAAACCAAACCGAATCAATCTTTTTACTTTGATTTTGTATTTGGTTTTAGGTCAAAATCAAACAAAAAAATCGAACTCATCCCTAATTTAAATTAACAAATCTTAATAGAACGGGGTTAATATTTTTTTAGCTAGTCATTCTACATTTTGTAAACTTAGGTGTTGGGAATATTTTATGGTGTTCAATCTAGTTAGTTATCTTTGTATTTGTGTAGTTATCAATTAATCGTGTAATACGGGCCACAAATGTGTATCAGCCCGTTTCCTTGTAACCCGTAAGTTAGCCAACTTCTCCTATAAAAGGAGGCTAACTTACGGGAACCCTAACACTAACAATTGATAGAGGCTTAGAGTTTAGAGGCGTAAAGATAGAGAGTAGGTTTGCCGCTGCTCTCCTTCTCCAGGGAGAGCAGCGGCCGGTTTTCATACGGTATACCAGATTCGCGTATAATATCTTCATATCT